CCTGCCTCAGCCTCTCAAGTAGCTGGGCCTACAGGTGAATGCTACCACGCCCGACTAATTTTGTATTTTTTGTAGAGATGGGGTCTATGTTGCCCAGGGTGGTCTTAAACTCCTGGGCTCAGCGATCTGCCCACCTTGGCCACACGAAGTGCTGGGATTACGGGCATGAGCCACCACACTCGGCCCTATGTGAGCATATTTAAATGCATATTTTTCATAATTTGTGAAATTCATGCTGTTATTAATTCTACTAGACTTATTCTTCAAAAAATTGCACACACTTGAACCTATATTTGTCTAATTAATGAAAATCATTAATGAGAACATTGACAAAACTTTACTTTCTTCAACAAATCCCTCACCATTTTTTGGCTACAATCTGATGTTTCAAACCTATTTATTTTCAAATTATTAACATTTCATATCTTCCCTCCATCCCATTTTGTTTTATTTCTGTCTTATTTGGCGGTGATTTGGTTGCATTGAACAGACTATCACTGGAGCATTTTTCCCAATGCTATCCCTCCCCAGCTCCCGCCCCCCCCCCCGCTGTCCCTCCCCTATTCCCCCCAACAGACCCCAGTGTGTAGTGCTCCCCTAGAAATGCCAGATGTGGGTAAAGGGGAGGAAGATAGCAAATCACACTGCCACTGGTGCACCTATGCAACTATATTTCATGTTCTGCACATGTACCCCCAAACCTAAAATGCAATAAAAAAAAAATCACTGGAGCAAATTTAGGCAAACAAAGCAAAACAAAAATGGGTGATGGGAGGAATATTAGAAACATCTAAGTCTATTTTGTGAAATCCAAGGGCAGAGTTAATTTTGCTCCAACATGCAGAGCAAAATGAAGGTATTGTATGGCCATGAGAGGGGAGTGCTCCACCTGGGTAGAGAGGGGTGATTCATCTGTGCTTCCTGCCGCGTGCCTCCCTTGACACCTCCCACTTGTCAGTCAAGACCTTGTGGCTTTCCGTCCATATGCGCCATACATCACGAATGGCAGGAATCTCTGGGTCCCAGCGACACACCCCCAGGGAAACAAATCTACTCGGCTTGTTTCTCTTGTCCATGCCAGTCCAAATGCCATGCCAGGGAGGGTTCTCACAGCTGGCAGTGCACCCACTGGTCTACTCCCTTTGAAAGAGAAATCTGACATCTGTATTTTTCTTCTCAAACATATTTTTCCCTGTTGTAGCTGGAGGGATAGTTTACTCATTCTCAAAATTCAAGAATGTTAGAATTTGATCTAATTTCCTTAATTTTCCCTGAATGGAGAAAGCCATTTTCATATGCCAATGGAAAGGTAACTCCTATTGTTCTGTTTCCTCCTGCACTTTTGCTGTGTGTGTTTTCAGTTTATTACATTCCCTCCAATCATTTTTATATTCTCAGTCTCTGCCTTGGACTTAGTCTCTGTCTGCTTGGAGAGCTCTTGAAGATTGCCCTCCACTTTGCTTTTCTCAGTGTCTATGGTTGACACTGTATATTTGTGTGTTTTCCTTTTGTAATTTTTTTCCCATGCACTGTAATATTTTCCTTTTCATCTGAATTCATTTTCATGTTTTCCTGAATCCTAGAAAATTCCATTTCATTCTTCTTCCCTGGTTTTAAGGATCTATTTGTTCTCAAATTGTATTGAGAGCAGATGCTATCTAAAATTACTCCTGTACCAACTTGTCTCAAATACATGCTATTATTTTGTTTCTCAATTGCTGTTTTCCTTATTAATGTAAAGCATATTTTATTAGCACTCATATTTCGTTTTCTATGTTTTATAGGTTACATTGAGTCTCCAAAAAAAGATACGTTAAAGCCTCAACCCTGAATACTTCAGAATGTGACCTTATTTGGAAATAGGTGGCCAAGTAAGAATGAGGTCATTAGGGGTTCCTTAATCCAATAAGATGTGTGTCCTAATAAAAAGAAAAGATGTGGACACAAGACAGGCATACACAGAGGGAAGATGATGTCAGGGACATAAGGAGAAGGCTATATGATGGCCGAGGATTAGAGCAATGCAACTACAGGCCAAGGAGTGCCAACAATAGCCGACCATCTCCGGAGGTGAGAGGCATCCAGAGCAGATGCTCCCCACAGCCTCAGGCGAACCCACCCTGCTGACATCTTGACCTCAGCCTTTCAGCCCTCCAGAACTGTAAGAAAATACAGGTCTTCTCGTGGTCGGCGCAGCGGTTCCACCGGCACTTCGACGCAGCAGCTCTCGGCGCTGAGTAAACAGGACCGGTTCCCCTTCTGACCGAGGTTTGGAGCCCCGGGAAGACAGAGTCGCCTACTACAGAAACAAGAAGGAAGCCCGACAGGTGAATCCTGGGCAGAAAAGCACCATCAGTTTTAATGCCGCTGCTCTGGCCCTGGGAACTAACAACCTGGACGTCCACTCAAGAGACCTAATCTGAAAATTGGTAATTTCAAAGACGACAGGAGGATAAATTTACAATGACGGGAAGAAACCAGCGTAAAAAAAGCTGAGAATACTCAAAGTCAGAATGCCTCTCCCTCTAAAGATGATCACAGTTCCACATCAACAATGGAACAAGGCTTGATGGAGAACGAGCGCCTCCTGATGACAGAATCACTCTTCAAGGAATGGATAATAACAAACTTCGGTGAGTTAAAAGAACATGTTGTAGCCCAACGTAAAGAAACTAGGAACTTTGAAAAAAGGTTTGATGAAATCCTATTGAGAATAGACAACTTAGAGAGGAGTATGAGTGAATTAATGGAACTGAAGAATACAATACAGGAACTCCGAGAAGTATGCACAGGTTTAAACACTCAAATTGCTCAAGCAGAAGAAGGGATATCAGAGGTCAAAGTCCAACTTAATGAAATAAAACATGAAGAAAAGATTAGAGAAAAAAGGATAAAAAGGAATGAGCAAAGTCTACAAGAAATGTGGGACTATGTGAAAAGACCAAATTTACGTTTGATAGGTGTACCTGAATGCAACGGAGAGAATGAATCCAAGCTGGAAAATACCCTTCAGGATATTATTCAGGAAAATTTTCCTAAACTAGCAAAGCAGGTCAATATTCAACCCCAGGTAATACAGAGAACACCACAAAGATATTCCTCAAGAAGAGCAACACCAAGTCACATAATCGTTAGATTCACCAGGGTTGAAACGAAGGAGAGGATACTAAGGGCAGCCAGAGAGAAAGGTCAGATTACCCACAAAGGCAAGCCTATCAGACTTACAGCAGATCTCTCGGCAGAAACTCTACAGGCCAGAAGAGAGTGGGGGCCAATATTCAACATCCTCAAAGAACAGAACCTTCAGCCCAGAATTTCATAACCAGCCAAACTAAGCTTCATAACTGAAGGAAAAATAAAATCTTTTATGAACAAGCAAGAACTCAGAGATTTTATTACCACCAGGCCTGCTTTACAAGAGCTTCTGAAAGAAGCATTACACACAGAAAGAAACAACCAGTATTAGCCTTTCTAAAAATACACCAAAAAGTAAAGAGCACCAACATAAGGAAGAATTTACACCAACAAATGGATAAAACAGCCAGTCAACATCAAATGGCAGTAAACCTAAATTTAAATTGACTAAATTCCCAATGAAAAGACACAGCCAAAACCCAACGGCATGTTACATCCAGACCTGTTTCACATGCAAGGATACACAAAGACTCAAAACAAAGGGATGGAGAAAGATTTACCAACCAAATGGAGAGCAAAAATAAATAATAAATAAATAAAAAGCAGGAGTTGCAATTCTTGTATCGGATAAAATAGATTTTAAAGCAACAAAGATATAGTGGTAAAAAGATCAATGCAACAACAAGAGCTAACGATCCTAACACCCAGATAGGAGACTTAGATTCAATGAGACAGAAAATTAATAAGGATATCAAGGACTTGAACTCAGATCCGGAACAAGTAAACTTATAAATATTTATAGAGCTCTCCACTTCAAATACACAAAATATACATTCTTGTCAATACCACATCACACCTACCCATTAGTTTAAATGAAACATTGATTTGCCATTATTAATACCCAATTTTTTTCAAAATAAAGCAATATTTCCATTTACTCTCCCTCTTTCTCTTCCTCTTTCTTCCTCTCCTTTACTTATTTTTTTTTTCTTTCCTTCTCTCAAAAAAAAAAAAAAAAAAGAAATCAACTTGTAAACCTCTAGATCCAGGTCGGCAATGTCTCTTTCATTGCTTGATTTCCTTTCTTTTCTTCCCTCCCTCCCTCTCTCCCTCCCTCCCCACTTCCTCCCTTCCTTCCTTCCTTCCTTCATCCCTTCCTTCCTCCCTACCATCCTTATTCCCTTCCTTCCTGCCTTCCTCCCCCCGACCCCAAAAAAAAAAAAAAAAGAAAATACGTGTCTATTTGGTTACTCTATCTAGTTTGTGGTACTTTGTTATGGTGGTGCTGGAAAATGACTATACTGCATATTCATCTTAGAACAGAGATTATCTACTTCCCTCCAGAACAGTGTGTGTGATTCCCCCTCCCTCCCTGCCTCCCTGCATGCCTCTCTCTGCATTTCCATTTTTGACACCTTACTTCTCCTGTGGATACTATTCAGAATGGTAAGAGATCTAGTGTTCTGGGTTATCTTACTCAAGTTAGTTCTCTTCCTCTGCGTTTCTCTTTTACATTCAATATTAGAGATGATGGGGTCTTATTTGTACTATACCACCAATATTGACATCCTATGTTGGCCTCTTTCTCTGATTAACGTTTGCTTGACTAGCATAAAACTTTAAATACTTTTTCAGATGGGATATATGAAACTTTACAGCATGTGCATATTTAATTTTTTTTTTAATTAGTTTTTAAGGTTGGGTGCAGTGGCTCACGCCTGTAATCCCAGAACTTTGGAGGCCTGAGGTCAGGAGTTTGAGACCAGCCTGGCCAACATGATGAAACTCTGTCTATACTGTAAAAAAAAGAAAAAGAAAAAGAAAAAAATGACAAAATTAGCTAGGCATGGTTGTATGCACCTGTGATCCCAGCTACGTGGGACGCTGAGGCAGGAGAATCACTTGACATTGGGAGGTAGAGGTTGCAGTGATCTGAGATTGTGCCACTGCACAATCTTTTGCCTGAGTAAAAAGAGCAAAACTCTGTCTCAAAAAAAAAATTAGGTTTTGAAAAACTTAGTTCTCTTATTCAAAAGATATTTTGCTTTGGTATAAGATTCCAGATTCACAATTCTTTTTCTTCCTAATAAATTCGGGGGCACCACTTTAATATGTTCCAATGTCCAGTGTTATGGGTGAGAATTCAGTCTATTCTATGTCCCCAAACTCTCCATCCAATAAAGCATCAACTCAAAGTGAAAAAATTTTCTCTGACTCACATCAGTTCAAAGTCCCCAAATCTTATTATCTGAATAACCTAAATTAAGTATGGATGTGAATCTGGGCATAATATGATGTGGGACAAAACTCCTCTCTATCTGTGAAACAAAAAAGTTATCCTTTACCAACATATAATAGTAAACAGGCATAGAATAATAGTTACAGATATTTTCCTTCAAAAAGGGAGAAAATGGTGAGGGGGGAACCAATCCAAATCAACTTTAGAATCCAGCTGCACAAATTCCATTAGGTTTCCAGGCCTTGGTGGTTCTCAGCTACAGCCTCAGGGCTTACATCAGTCTTCTGAGTTACCCTTCCTCTTATTATGGAGAGTAGCATGTTTTTTACATCTGGGCAAGTTTTATCAGCACCTTTCCTGCTGGTGGAATTTGGCGAGCCCAATAGCCTTTCTTCATTTTATCTTGCTTCTGCCCCTTTCAGTCCAAGGTAGCAGTGTTTATGCTGAAATAAAATTCTTCACCATTTTTGAGAGTCTCATCTATGTCCTTGGGATTCAGTCCATTAGAGAAGATGTTTCTCTACAGATCTTTCTAAGTAATCCCTTCTCCATTTTTGTCTACTGCTAGGATGGCTGAGGGGATCTCTGATTCACACTATTAATCTCTCAGATAGCTTTCTGTGTACCTTCATACTTTGACCTTTCAAACTTTCTGAAGTATTAGCAAAGACTCTACAACCATACCCTCAGCTATTTGTCTAAGGAGGTTTTCCTGACAGCAATCTCTTAAAGTTTGTATCTTTTGCCATTTTAATAGGCTGATGTTCCAAAACCATTAAATCCTGGATTCTTTTTGTTTAACAGATGCTCTTATCTTCTTTTGCATTTCACCATAAGCAGCAAGAATCAATCAGGTTATACCTTCAACACTTTGCTGAGCAATCTCCTCAGCTAAGTAGACCAGTTTAACACTTACAATCTCCACTTCCCATACAGCTGCAGGACACTGTTCTGTTGAGCTTTCTGACACTATTTAAAGTACTTCCACCCTCCATTAAAATGGAGCCTTCATTGGCAGTCTTTAACAACCATGCACAGTTAAAGACCTTTACCTGTGGTTTTGCTTTCTGGAGTTTCCATTTACCTGTGGCCAACCATGTAAAATGTTAAATGCAAAATTCCAGAAATGAATAATTCATAAGTTCTAAATTTCATGCTGTTCTGAGCAGTTTGAAAAAAATCTCATGCCATCCTCCTCCATTTTGGCCAGGAAATGAATCATCTATTTGGCCAGCTTATCCACACTGTACACATCACCCTCCTATTAGTCACTTAGTAGCTGCCTTGGTTATCAGACTGAAAGAATATAGTGTACATAGGGCTTGGTGCTAACTATACATAGCGTTTGATGGGGTTTAGTATCCACTGGGGGATGCTGCAATGCATCCTGCACAGATGAGTGGGGACTACTGTGTCTATGAACTGCCTGCTCAAGGCAAACTGGACTTTATCTATCATGTTCCACCAATTTTTTCCAGCCTTTTCCACTGCCTGGTTTCAATTCCACTTGTATATTTTCTTTCTTTTCTTTTGCTTTTTTTTTTGAGATGGAGTCCTACTCTGTTACCAGGCTGGGGTGCATTTGTGCGATCTTGGCTCACTGCAACCTCTGCCTGCTGGGTTCAAGTGATTCTCCTGCCTCAGCCTCCTGAGTAGCTAGGACTACAGGCACATGCCACCATGCCCAGCTAATTTTTGTATTTTTAGTAGAGATGAGGTTTCACCATGTTGGCCAGGATGGTTTTGATCTCCTGACCTCGTGATCTGCCCATCTCAGCCTCCCAGTGTTGGGTTTCTAGGCGTGAGTCACCATGCCCCACCCACTTGCATATTTTCTATTTGTTACATCAGCACTCTGCTTTTAGCATCACAATCTGTATTCATTTTCCCTTGCTGTTATAAAAAAATGTTACAGACATAGCAGCTTTAATTGATCCATTTATTATCTCATAGTTCTGTAGTCAGAAGTCTGGGTTGATTTAAATGATTTATCTACTCTGGGTTTCATGCTGAAATCAAGGTGTGGGATTTGATTTTCCAAGCACATTCAAAAAGTCATCAGGATTTAATTCCATGTGGTTGCTATAATGATGTCCCCATTTTCTTGTTGGCCTTTGGTTGGAAATTCTCAGCTTCTAGAGGTCACCTGCATTTCCTGGCTCATGTCTCCTTCCTCCATCATAAAATCCAGCAACCGTGGGCTGAGTCCTTTTCACGCTTCCCATCTCTCTGATCTCTCCTTCTGTCTCATCTCTTTGACTGATGCTTCTGTCTTCTTCTTTCATGATTATATTGGGACCACCTGAATAATCCAGGGCAATCTCTTCATTTTAGAGTCATCTGATGAGCAATTCATGTGTAATGTCCTTTCTGCCACATAACATAGCATATTTCCAGGCATAAACCAGGGAGAAGGTCACTAGAGGATCAAGTTCCTCCCACCTCTTCAGGCCTTCCACCACTTCCACCTCTGTGATTTTTTTCTGTTCTGTCTTATTTTCTTCAAAATTCTTATATAGGATGGATCCTGGTTCTTCTACACAATCCTCTTCTCTCATCACCTTTAATTGTCAAGTCTCCCCAAGAGGCAGAATTCTCCTCAGGGTGAGGGAATGGGAAACGAGTAGACTCATTGCAGTGCCCTTCTCAGTGCTACCAAAAGGAAGTAAAAAGAAGACTGAACCTGAGGCTCCTGACTTCCATCCCATGCACTCATTCAGTGTCTGTGGAAAGAAGAACCCTGGTTTTACGGAGTGAACAGCACCATGCATGTGTGGGAATGAAGACAGCAGAGTAGCTCAGATGTGTGCTTATCATTTTAATCTATCAGGTAATTCCTGACCCTTTTTGTTCTCTTTTTCCCAGTAATTCCGCAAAACAAATCCTGATCACCCATGGGTCCTATTGGAAGAATGGTTCCCATTTCCTCTGCTCTTTTTTTAGAGTTTACTCTGAAGAGTCTCAACTCTGGCACCTTTTTTCTTCTATACTTTTTTATTTTTATTTTTTAAACTATCGGTTCAGTTCTATTAGGTTGGTGAAAGAGTAATTGAGGTTTCTGCTATTAAAAGTTATCATAGTGTCCAGGTTTTATGGCTTCTGTGAATATATTGCATTTTGTTATTTTTCCTTCAGTCATAATTAAGATTTACAGAAAGATGGGAGGTGAAATTTTGGCTTCAGATTGTCAGCTTGGACCAGAAGCCACACCCATATTTAAATGCAATGATTTATTTATCACCAAGACAACGTTTTGTTTTGCCATCATGTAAATCCAAATTTAGTGTTGCAGAAAATGATATTTTAAATTACTATGTTGACTTTAATATGTTTTCATTTTATATTTGCTATGATAGTGATTTCACATGAATGTTATCTATAATTTATTTAAAAATAACTTAAAAAAAATAAAAAATATCAGGACCCAAATTGTGTCTATTTTTTCCCTCAAAGGTAAAAAATTATAAAATAAATAATCTCTAGAGAATTTGCTAATTTTCTAGGTTGTTTTAAAATTTGGAAAGTAAAACAATATAAAATGAGAGGCCAATCTAAGAAACCTAGAAAAACAAGTTCAAATTCTTGGGAACAAGTGCAGAAAGAATTCTGCAAACTTTTGAATATCCATACATTTATAATTTTTATCATATCTTTTTAAAGTCAGGGCAAATTTTAAGTAATTAAGGAATACATTTATAAAGGAGTAGTTTTTGGGAGTAGTGGGGACAGATGTATCAGATCTGTAATGATGAATAAAGGCTAGCATCATTACGTCTAACCAATATTAATAGAACTATATTAGTCTTCTTCTAGTTGACATTAGTGAGAGGAAGGATGAGTCCTCCACTTTCTCCTGGTGTTTTCAATACCCAGCCGGATGTGGACAGGAAGATTTACAAATGAGCAATACAAATTTATTTAACAAAGGAAGAAAGCAAGGAATGATGAATGCACCAATACATTGAGATATTACTGAATGTACTAGATCATAGAACACCTAGATGTACTCTAAGAATAAAAAAACAAGTACACATAAGGGAAGTGACACAGACTCTTAAGAAAAGCCCATACTGACCTGATTATGCAAAAGTCCTCCAGAGCTGAAAGCTAATTGCACTTAGATGGAATCTAGATTGCTCTAAAAACTGAAAAAGGATACTAAATGAAATTAAAATCAAAGGCCCACATTAAAATGGCAAAGAAGTTAAAAAGAGAATTTACTCATTCATGAAGACCATAGGCTACGCTGAGGAATAAATTGGACACTGAAGCTAGGCAGACGATTTCCTCAAGCAATGCTCCTAAAGTTTTCCAGTATTTTAGCAGGACAACAAAGACTGTCTGCGGCCAGAGAGAATACAGTCTAAACAGAAACCTTACACGCACTGCAAAATATCACATTTCACATTGTTATTTTCCCCAAAATGGCCACAGAGTAATTTTTTTAATTATGAAAAATGTATTCTAAGAAAATAGAGAAGAAATAATGGACAAAGAAAATGCACACTCACCAAATATACCATTTAATTTTCCTCCCCATCTAATGAACCCTTAGAGGGTTGACTTAATGATGGTTGGACTTTATAGGATGGGGTACAGGAAAGTCACCTGGATTCCTGGGGAAGAGGTCGGTGCTCTATAGCTCAATTGTTTGCATCTGCACCAAGCATCTAAGCAGGATTCAAGGCAGTGGGCATTGTCAGGATTGAATGACTTGTGTCTTTCCTTCCTACTCTGATAAGTTACCAAGTACCAGGGACTCCGAGTGGAGACTGTCAGGCCCCTGGGAAAGGAATAAAAATTGCAATTCCTTTCTCTTTTATCACTATGAACTAACTAGTGTTGCAAAGTGCTTTTACTTATCAGGTTAGATGACTCTCACCAACAGGAAGGGTGCCTAAGGAATTTCATGGAGCAGCACATTTAGGAATTTGAAATCATTTAGTGGTCCAGGTGAATGTATATTCTAGGAGGACGTAAAGAAGTTGGATCTCCCATAGATGTTTGTGTGTCTTCGTGTTGAGTGCTGGCTAGCTCAGCACTGGTGTGATTCACATTATTGCCCAAGAAGCCACTAATGGGAATCTGTATGTTCCTTGTTGAGAACATCACCTATTGCGTTCTCTTTCTATTTATTTCTGTTGTTTTTCTCTGAAATGGCACCGAGGGGCCCACATTTTGTAGATCAGTGTTACTGTTTAGTATATTGCCCACAGTCATTTTTAAATTGGAAATCCTTGGTGACTACAACTCTGTGAAGAAAATACTCTAGAAAACAGGAAACAATAGAAATCATTCTGTGGCTGCAGTATCTCAACCCATAGGTTGTAATTGAAGAGACAGTATTGCTAATGCTTTGATCCATCAATGTATTTAGAGTACAAAGACCATTTCCTGCTTTTCTTTTCAAAAAGAAAACCAGACTTTCTGTGTAATGACAGAATGCATACAAAACTATCCCAATGTCTGTGTACACTCACACATACAGAGGACAAGCTAATGGCTTCAAGGCACGTAAACACCTCGTAAATAGACCCTGACTACAAAAATATGCCTTATTTCCAATACCTAGGAGAAAATGATTTTCCCCAGTTTGATATGCCTGTTTTGAAAATGTTAAATATTAAAATAAAAAGCTGTGATTTTAATCAAAATGTTGTTATTCAAAACAAATGCTAAAACTTTATTAATTTATAAATCAGTAATCTGGCTCTGAGGAAACACAATGATCTTTTAAAGCAAATATATCAGAAAATGTTATAGAACAGATAAGAGAATCATTCTCAATATTATAAAGTCAATATTAAAATTTGCAAAAAGAATATTAGTTAGAATAATCTGTTACCTTTGTTTTTCAAACTTGAATGGGCTTCCAGTAGTTTTAATATTTCAAGTAGAAAATCAAATGAAAATAAAGTACTACAGCAATTTTCAAAAAGAAATTACAAAAATGTTGGAAACAGTGACATCTCTGAGGAAGAAAGGTAGGGTTTGGAGGATGGGGTGTGGCTCATTTGAAGAGGATACGAGTCATTAGAACTGCAGCTTTCCATTGAAAAGAAAGCTAGAGTTATGCATATTTTTCACTGATTGATAGAAAATGGTTAATTAGTTCAGATTCTGGCATGTCAGTTGCCAAATAGAATAATGTCTCAGGTAGTGTCCTGTTTATTCCTTTAGTTACAGGGCCAGGTAGAGTGGCATAACTATGATTTACTTCATTCTGATGGCTCCTTGGATTAGTTCTCTGTTTTGATTTTCAATTGTTGTCCTCAGAGGTCACTGGTTTGCATCTATGTTTGAAGACACAAGAATCTATACGGTTTTGACATAGTGCAAAAGAATCTGATAGTGCTCAATAAATAGTAAAAAAAAAAAATGAGTTTGAAATGATAAAAGATACAATACCAGAAAATTATTCTGATTTTTTTTAAATAACAGAATTTAACACTCAGTTGAATCTCTTACTTAGAAGACCTAGAAAGACTTTATAATGACAAAAGTAGTCATTATTATAATAGTTCAGATATTTCCTGTCTTGATGTAGATTACATTTTATTTCAAAAAACATATCTGAAAGGCTTGGAAGACCTATTAAGCTGAGAAAATAAGAAAAAAAGTATAAATTAGTTTTTGAAGTACATGTTTCCCAGAGGCAATGACAGAAGCTGGCATATAGAAGCTGGGGTCCTAGGAACCTCTGAGCAACATGGCATTCACAGTGTTGGCTGCATCAGTCACTCTGTGCCATGTGAGTAAGACACATTCTTAAAATTCTTACTTTTTTTTTTTTTTTTTTTTTGAGACAGAGTCTTGTTCTGTTGCTGGAGTGTAGTGGTGCAGTCTCAGTTCACTGACACTTCGGTCTCCCAGGTTCAAGGGATTCTCCTGCCTCAGCCTCTGGAGTAGCAGGGATTATACACTTGTGTCACCATGCCTGGCTAATTTTTTTTTTTTTTTGTATTTTTAGTAGAGACGGGGTTTCACCATGTTGGCAAGGATGGCTTTAAACTCTTGACCTCAGGTGATCTACCCCCCTGGGCCTCCCAAAGTGCTGGGATTACAGGCAAGAGCCACTGCGCCCAGCAAATTCTGTGTTCTTTAAGAAATACAGATGCAGGAAAAGGAGAATGTGCATAATTAATGATGAAAGAAAGAGAGAGAGAAAGTATCATGTATTGAGAGAAAGGATTATGCATTGAATGAACAATTCAACATTAAGAAGCAAGATAAGAGAGAAACAAAAAGGACCATGTAAAATGTTTAAACACGAATATTAAAGAATTGCCAACATAACAATGTGAAACATTTTACTTATAAAAAGGAAATATTAATTATAATAACCTATGTCTGCAAAGGAGTAAGAAAATGAGCCGTATAATATACTTCTGGTGAGAATCCATGTAGTTATAAACTTTTTGAATTTTTGGCAATAAATATGAAAAGGCTTAAGCACACCCTCTGACCTTTCCACTCCAAATCAAGTTTATTTTAAAGAAACATTTAGGAAGTACATGGAAATAAGTATGTATCTGTATGTTCTCAGTAACATTTTTTTAGGTAGCAAAAAAAAGAAATAACTTTATAATTAGTAAAACATTTGTGCAATTTATATTATGTTCATATGTTGTACTATTACTCAGTCATTAAATTATTCTGTGAAAGCATACTTAATGGTTTGAAACACTATTAATGGTATAAGATGACATTTTTTTCTTGTTGG